TTTAGGGAACCTGTTTCTTTAACCTCCTGTTCAGTTCTCCAATTGTTCATCTCTTCTTCTGGTCTCTGAGTTCTTGCAGTCTCAACATTTATATACTGTAATCTCTTGCTTCACTAACTTTCATATGCGCGTTCATGAGAGAGTAGCATTCCAGCGAATGATGTTGGGCGTAGGCAATATTATTCTTACACAAACTCATCGATTCTCTGCAGAAGGCATTTAATTACCCCCGGAGCTGTTTGGAGCACTTTTTTATGATTGATGGATTCAGTTTATTGGTCTTCAAAATCTCAACAACCATTCACTGCCATTATAAAGCTTGGAAGAGCCTGGACATTTTATTTTTTATATATAACTCCGATTGTATTCGTCTGAAAGAAATTCATGTACACCTGGCTTGAGGGTGAGTAAATCGTAGGGTGATTTTCATTTTTTGGGTGAACTATCCCATTACCTGTATTTTAGATTGTACCCATATCAAGAAAACTCTTGAGTACTTGGGTAGGGTTAAATTTACCAATGTTCAAGTCATTATTTCCCCAGTTTTGACTGAAATGACTTTCGTCGATTGCAGAAACAGTGCAAGCGTCTCTGGTGCACCAGTGCGGAGGGCGACCATAAAGGATGTCGTACGCAGCACATGCCACTCGCTGATGGGACCGAATGTGGCTATGGAATGGTAAGACACTTTCCCTACGCTTTCATGCCTGTGTTTTTGTCTGGTGGTCAGTCGTGCGTTAAACTGAAATGTCAAAGCTGATGAGGATGGTAATGTGAGCTTGCGTAGCTGGTTTCCTTCTTGTCCGTGACATTAGCTGCCTAAACACGGAATCAGGTTCATTGAGGGGTATTTATTTAATCCCACATGACTGTAAAAGAAAACCCTCCAGTTCTTCATGAAATCCCAATATAGTGTGTGTAGTAGTGTAATGGTGTGTTCAGACCAAAAGTGAAGCGAATATTTGCATCACGTTACTCGCTCTAGATTACTCGCGGGATATTTTTCACGCACTAATAAAAACATAAAAACAATAAAAAACATTTTCTGATACAACCGGACGTGTCAAACTGGACATGTCAATAAGCTCTTCGCTGATTGGCTAGCGCGACAACACGTCATGCAAATTTTCTGCTCGTGTTCACATTTTTCAACTTGTGCGACAAAGGCGTCGCCCAATTCGCGTCATTCACATCGCTCTGCGCGAATTCACGTCTGTTCGCGTCTTTGCATTGACTTTGTATGTAATCTACTCACGCTAATAATTAATTTTGCTTTTGATGTGCACACACCGTAAGTGTTGCGATGCCTTTCACTTGTTTTCTTTCACTTCTCGATTGCTATGCTAATTAGCCGCATTTAGTTCACTGCTGCTCGATCTTTGAGAGCTGAGATCCGAGGTGAAGTATCAAGCCTTTGAAACCGAACGCCACCCGCGGATCACCTTGTTGTGAACCCGTGACCCCCAAACCTCTTTACGACGCGGGTGAGTGGGTCACTGGTCAGGGAGTTTTAGAGAGTGTTGGGTTTAGACCAACACAAAAGACGCTGCAGAAGGAGGGGGTCCGTTTCTCCTTCATTTTAACACTTTAAGTACAGGGAAACTTCTAGAACAAAGCTTTCTGAGTGAATCAAATGTTAACAGAGGTGGGCAGTATGCAATCAGGCTAGTGGCTGGGAAAGCAGAAACCTTTCTCATTCTCATTAACTGTGGTGCAGTACGTGAAGCCCTGCGGAGGAAGGAGAGCGAGCAGCGTTTGTTGGTTGTTCTCACATCGTCTGATTAAAGCCACAAGGGCATGAAAGAGTTCATGTCAGTGTTAAGCTTCATTACTCATTAGTGAAACAGACCTCCCGTTTTAACTAGCGCTTCACATCTATTAATACTCTAGCATTATTCCTCCAGCTCTGCTGACTGTAATGGTTTATTAGAGCAGTGTTAGTTCAACTAAACATCCCTACATCAAGAACATAAATTAATTTATATGAAAATATTATTTGGGGAGGAATTATCTTAAGTTTCTCAACTGGTTTGGCTTCAGGAACTAGATTTTACATTAGATGGTGATTCAACACAGAGCCACAATTATGTATCATACATAAGTAAACAAAAGTGTCAAAACAAAAGTATATATATAAATGATTTTATAAAACTGATTTTATTATTTTATGATTTTATTATTAAATGATGATGAAATATTGATTTATTTATGCTTTGAGTTCTGCTGGTTTCATACTCTCAGCTGCCAATTTTTTCATCTCATGAAAATACATTCTTATTGGAACAAACCATGTTTATATTTGTTTGAAATCATATTTAATGTCATCTGGGTCGTATTTTCTATTATTTTAGTTTTATTCAAAGTCAACAAGTGCATGTTGGCACCTGTGTAATTTGACAGGCTACTACCAAGTGACAGATGAATTTGAGAATACATGAACAGAATACATGAGAAATGTTTCTTAATTTTCATGTTTTTATTTTGCTGCCCAAACTCTTATATTGTATAACTGGTTAATTCAGAACTGAACTGGATCGTGGTCCGTTAGTTTAGAAGCGCTGTTATGTATCATGCTGAGCGAAATAGTTACTGCGTGACTCTTTACAAAAACAGGGACACAAAGGGTCTTTTTTCTTGGGCTTCTACCCCTCGTGGCCCCTGCACCTTTGTTTGTGGTGCTGAGTGCCTGGTGTCACCTCCTCATGGGGCCGTTTGAAGTGGCAGAAGTTGAAAGAAATGCAGCTCTCTGTCTCGGCTCACCTGCCTGTCTCGAGCTCTTTAATGTGGGAAGGTCCTCACGAAGGCTTGTTCAAAATGTCTTTCTCTGTCTCTCTTCTCTCTCATTTATCTCCAAACGTTGGCTCGTTTGATCCCGTTTAAGCTTGTAAATGGACCACTATGTAAATAAACGCTGGTAATCATCAAACACATGAGCTCTAGTGGAGATGCAGAAAAGCGACGTTAGGATCAGACCGTAATTGCTTTGATTCTTTGCGGTTTCCCCCTCATTCCCTCGGCCTCTCTATGTCCTCGATTCCCTCTTCTGTCTTGCAGGGCACTGGAGTGAGTAATGTTGTCACATGACCCCAGCGGCCTGTCTGTCATCCGGCTCAGTGAGCCCTGCGCTAACGAGGGCATCCCATCACTTGCCATCTATAAGTACCAACACCTCCCTCCTCCCTCCCTCCCTCCTAACTCTATGGTTAATGGAGTCCATTTATTGGGACAGAATGGTTATATCCCAATAAAGATGCTTGTAAGTGAAGTCATGAATCATAGTGAATCATAATTGTGCTTGTATTCAGTTTGTAAACACCTGGGGTTGGAGAATTTCTTTTGGATCCCAACGGTTTCTTAACTTGCTTAAAGCTGCAGTCCGTAACTTTTTTTTTTGTTAAAATGATCCAAAATCAATTTTTGAGAAAGTACATAACTAGCCAAAGCTATCATCTCCTTACTTTAGCCCGATTCACAACAGTAAGCTTATAATAATGTTTTCTAATTTGAGTGGTACTGGTTGGAATTCACGGGAAATTCGAGCATGCTGCCACATCATTACGTCACGTAAAGAAGTTGTCCCGGCTAGTAGGCTATATCGCATGTGAGGATCCTGCAGGTGGCGGATCATTAATGGCCTTTTCTTACAGCAGTTGGAATAATTAAACTTATTTTGATAAGCTAAGCGATCATTAAGATTTAATCACCATTGGTAGCGCGATGTGTTGTAATGCTTTTTTTCCCTCAGTTGGTCAGAACAAAAGTGGCAGACATGTTACTTACTTGTTCAGATGACTTGTTCTTATCAGCCACTCATCAAAACATTAGATTCATCCGCGCTGAGGAGCCGTGCCGGTGCACAACCCACACAAAGAAGATAATTCCGCAAATAACTGCAATTGCAGGTTTCAAACAGAGATGGCGACAAAGAGGCAAAACTTACAGACTGCAGCTTTAACTAGCAAACTTCCATAATTTATTGGTATACGCATGATCTCTAAACTGTTCGTTTCATTAGGGGAACTGTGGGGAAAGTTGGCAGGTTGCTTTTGCGTGAAGTAGCTGGTTAAATGATTAGTTCACTCCTGAATTAAAATTTCCTGATAATTTACTCACCCCCATGTCATCCAAGATGTTCATGCCTGTCTTTCTTCAGTCAGAAATAAATTAAGGATTTTGAGGGAAAGCATTCCAGGATTTTTCTCCACATAGTGGACTTCAATGGGGATCAGCGGGCTGAAGGTTAAAAATGCAGTTTCAATGCAGCTTCAAAGGGCTCTACACGATCCCAACCGAGGAATAAGGGTCTTATCTAGTGAAACAACCAGTCATTTTCTAAAAAAAATTAAAAGTTATATACTTTTTAACCACAAATGCTCGTCTTGCACTAGATTGACCTCATGCATTATGTAATCATGTTGGAAAGGTCACGCATAATGTAGGTGGAAGTACCGACCCAGTGTTTACAAAGCGAACGTGCAAATAAAGTCAAAAAAGGTCAAACAACAATTTCAGACGTTTTGAAATTGGAGGAGAAAATGAGATGGAGTTTTTCACCCTACGCTACCTTTTTGAACTGGAGTACACAGACGAAGAACTAACCGCGCGTGACGTTTCCAACGTGATTACGCAATGCGTGAAGTCGTGGATGCAGAGCTAGTGCAAGACGAGAATTTGTGGTTAAAAAGTGAAGTGACTGGAGTAATGATGCTAAAAATTCAGCTTTGAAATCATTTTAAATTAAATTTTAATTTTAAAATATATTCAAATAGAAAGCAGTTATTTTAAATAGTAAAAATATTTCACAATATTACTGCTTTTGCTGTATTTTGGATCAAATAAATGCAGGCTTGGTGAGCCGAAGAGACTTCTTTGAAAAACATTAAAAATCTTACTGTTCAAAAACTTTTGACTGGTAGTGTATATGCAATTTTTAAAATCATAACATGTAAATTTATATTGTCGCCAGTGGCGATCTCAGCAAAAATATCACTCACAAATTAATATTTTTGGTCACAAGTGCAACCTTTTTAGTCGTAGTCTGGAGCCCTGATAAAGGTGAAATGAACTACGCGAGTCATTCGACAAACGACAAACAGCATGAATGCACCTTTACCTCGATTACTTGGCAATCACAGCAACAACTCATTCGTGAAAATCAGATCCCGGGCCGCCGTTACAGTACTAGACGTCTCGCTGGAAACACATGCAGATTAGCAGGAGAAGTGACAAGCGATCCACATGGAGAAACGAGCTGCCAGGAACAGCAGCCAAGCCGGAGAGCCGCGGCCAACAAATTCTCCAACATTTACAAGACTTCAGTCTTTTTCTCTAACTGCCTGAGACGAGGACAGGTTGAAGGTTCTGCTGAGCTGAAGCCGGGTTAGGCACACAATAGTGTCTATTGTACCTCCAGACATAAAGCTTATTGGAAGAGGAACCGAATACAAGCACAATTATGATTTGACTTCATTTACAAGCATCTTTATTGGGATGCTACCATTCTGTCCCAATAAACCGATAAACTTAACCAGCTAGTTCATGTTTTAATGCATAGTCGCCACTCCATACTAGGTCCCCTGCTGAAAAGAACCGTTTGGTCATCGTATGGTTACTAGTAAATTACAAACCAAGTTGACCAGGCAATTTAGGCAAGTTAAGAAGTCTGATTGGGATGCCAGG